CCCCAAAACCCCAAAACCCCAAAACCCCAAAACCCCTGATAATTTTGAGGAAATTGAAGCGTAGGCTACTTTATAAATATTTATAGCTATTTTTGGGCATCTGGATATTTCAGAAAATCACAAAGGCGTCAGACAGCTTTAAGGCTATTTTCCTAAAAGTTCTCAGAAAAACTCAGATCTGGGTGATTAAGCGTGGTTAAGCTACGGAACTGTCTTTCTCACAGATTTCTCTGCTTACGAATACTCTTGTAGTTTTCTCTATGAGAGACGATTCTGCTCAATAGAAGTTTTTGACTGCTGGTCTTCCTCATGCCTCATAACCCGGTAGCAGCCTCATCCCTAGTTGAGGAGTCATATTGGGCATCTTTTAGTACTGGAATACAGTCTGATTGCAGCTTCTTAGGTGGAGTTTGCAAAGGCTTCATAGATTTTTCAATCTCCTTTTTAATTTTATTTGTAACTCTAAACAGTGAGGTGGTGAACTTACTCGACCTCAGAATCTTCGGATTCGCATTCTTTAGCTTTGTTAGGCACAACATTATTAATCTCGAAGCCTGGAGGCAGAAGTCAATCAAAGCTAGGGATCGATGAAAGATTTTTATTGAACGGGTTATATTCATTTACTTTCTCCTCTACTCTTTTAGGGGAGGTATCGTAACGTTCATAGTACTCATTGGGCTGCGTGGGATGGTACTTCCACAAATGCCTCCTCCGCCTTGTTTTCCACCTTTTAGTCTCACTCTTGTGTATAATTTTAAAGTTTATTGACTCTTTTCTGTTATGCCACTCAGGGAGTTTCGTTAATTGGGGTCTTCCCTGTTCAATCCTTTTGAATGCCAATTTTTCTAAAATTGGGTTAGATCTTAAAAATAAGCAATTAGGACTATTTTTGGAGAATCCAGCAGGAAGTAAGTAGCAGTAGCTAAGAGTAGCCAGGTGTTATGTGATGGTTGAAATTCAGATTAGAGGATTTTAGAAGTTCTAGCACCATAGTTTACCTTGTTCTTTGGAGATGAATGTTGTAATAGTCACGGCCTTTGTATCTCCACTATCTTTGTGTTGAGGTTCTTTCTTATCTTTGAAGTCATCAACATCAATGGTATTGACAGTTTTCCTTGTATCTTTAGTATCGTGGTTAGGTGCTGATGTTCATCAGCATGCTTTATTACCCATTTTTCAATAATTTTTAGAGAGATTGGGGTTTTGGGGTTTTGGGGTTTTGGGGTTTTGGGG